TCTCTCTCTCTCTCTCTCTCTCTCTCTCTCTCTCTCTCTCTCTAGAAATTCAAGGCTGCTCTCTCCTCCTCCCTTGTAGGAAGTCATATTCTCTCTCTCCCTTCTTGAATTCAAGGCCATTCTCTCTCTCTTCTTGAAATTCAAGGCCATTCTCTCTCTCTCTCTCTCTCTCGCTCTCTCTCTCTCTCTCGTCTTGCCTTCAAGAGTGGTTACCAGTTACCTCTCACTAATATCTATAAGTGCAACCTGGAGTCTGTAATATTGATTTTCCAATGCCCATCATCATTGAAAGCCAAGGTCATGGCTCTCACCCTTTCTCTCTCTAGCCTTTCCTTATCTTTGGAGGAAAGCAAGCAATGCTTTTGAAGAGAGGGAACCATGGAATCATGCACTTTCCACCATGTCCCATGAAACCCATCATCTGCAAAACCTCTCTGCTCAATAACATTCCAGTTGCAGTCATAGTCTCTATAGCACTTCCATGGCTTCACCCCTAAGTAATGGATTCCATACAAATCAAGCCCCTTTTTTGAACCAGAAAGCTTCAAAAAGTTGAGCTTTTGAGGGATTCTATGCCACCATGTAAATATCTCATTGATAAAACCTTGGTCCCCTCCATTATATGAATGTACTCTCTCTTTCTCTCTCATCAAAACCCTAAACATGCACTGTGATGGCTCTATCACCATTAGACCAGAGTTGAAGATTGTTCTACTGTTACTTATAGCTGACATCTCAGGGAGCTTAAAAAGGAAATCGATATTCTTGAGGACCACCAAGTCCGAATCCAAAAACACCAACTTCTCATATTGGGTTAGTTGCCATAGCCTCAGCTTGGTGTAATTCCACTCATTATAAGACCCACTGTTCGCTTTAGGGTTTCTGATTCTTTCTCTCTCTAAAACGAGCCACCCAGCTTCTGTTAATCCTTTCCTTGAGCTCCCTGATATGGTTTTATCAACTACAACTACCATGTCTTTAATGGAACCAGTGGCTCTTATGCTCTGAGCTAAAGTTATGGCTCCACATACGTAGTCCTCAGAGGAGTGCAAAACAGTTGCATACGCCTCCCTCTTTCTGGTATATCCCCTTTCTCTCTCTAAACTTGCAACCATTCCAGTTTCTCTCTCTAGCTTTAGAGCTAACTCACAAGACCCTACTGGTAAATTCGACACTCTCTCTGCTAATTTCTTGACATCAACTCTATATAACCATCTTTCTCTGTCTTGTTCCACTAGTTCATTGCACCTAAAGATCTCTAACATGGGCCTGCACTCAGTCAATAAGAGAACAGAGACTTTCCGGCCATTTTTCCGGCCTCTCATCAACAAATTAGCAGTGATAAGATGGATTTGAAGCCTGAAAACATCTCTTGCCCAGTTTTTTTCGCCATTTTTGCATGGAATTTTAGCAACCACCAAGTCATAATGCCGAGTTTCTCTCTCTAGAAGTGTGGAGTTGAGTGCAGGTGGTGCAATTTGAGGACACTTGGGTTTCCTGTTTTCTTCTTCTTCATCGATCCATTCTGGGAAAATCTCCGTCCATGAAATTTTTTTGGTGGCGTTTTCGATATTTATCGCCGTGATTTCGCCGAAATTTTCCCATTGTCGGTGATATTTTTCAGGGATATTTATCAATGCAATCCTCGTTCTTCTCTTGTTTTCTCTCTGTACATACGTCCACCTGCATCGTAAGATAGATGCTTCATTGTTTTGCGAAATGTTGGCTTGAAGATTTTATAAAGGAAATCCCCGAAATTTAAAATATGAGTGAAAACAAGTTAAAAAATGTCCTGAAATGCACGAAATAAAATTCGTATTTTATTTTTTTCTTTCTGAAATTCAGTGGAAATTTACCCCATTTTCCTTTATTTCAGAAGTTGGGACGAATTTCTAACAAAATTTCGAGTGTTGGGCGAAATTTCGGCTGTTCCAAAGTCGAAAAAGACAACGAAATTTCATCGAAATATGATTCAAGTGAGGACGCTTACCTTGGTTGATGAGCAACGTTCTCTTGGGATCTGAAGATGTTGTTGAGAGCGAGAAGAGAGAGAAAGAGAAGACATAAGGGGTTCATTGCCTCCAAAGCTTAATGGGTTCTAAAGGGCTTGCAGGAATTCAATTCTAGAGAGAAAACAAGGATTGGGTTGGGTTTAGAGTCTTTTTATAGAGTGTCTGCAAAAACTCAAGTTTAGAGAGAGAAACAACAAGGGTTTGGTGACTTTTTTAGAGAGAGAAACAGCAAGGTTTGGGTCTAGAGTTTGAGTTTTGAGAGGTGAAGGAACTGCAGATGTGGTTGAGAGCGAGAAGAGAGAGAAAGAGAAGACAAGGGGTTCATTGCCTCCAAAGCTTAATGACTTCTAAAGGGCTTGCAGGAATTCAATTCTAGAGAGAGAAACAAGGATTGGGTTTAGAGTCATTTTGTAGAGGGTCTGCAAAAACTCAAGTTTAGAGAGAGAAACAACAAGGGTTTGGTGTCTTTTTTAGTAGAGAGAGAAACAGCAAGGTTTGGGTCTAGAGTTTGAGTTTTGAGAGGTGAAATTAGTGGGGATTGAGTAGGGGTTATGATGGAAGTGTAATATGATTAGCAGCACTTTGGAAGGTTCATGCCCGTTATATGATTGCGTTACGCGCATGGGTCGGCAGCAGGCCACAACCCACTTTCTCTCTCTACGACTCTCTTATTGTAGTCATTATTGTGCTCCTGGGGCTACTATTTGAAAATCAAGATCATTCTCAATGTCGTGGGAATATGATTCGGTCTTCAAATGATGTTAGTGGTGAGCATGCTTGGAGTGTTTCTTTGTTGAGTATCATAATCTCTTTCTCAAATTGGCTCTCCCTCTTCCCTTTTATTGAGTATAATAATCTCTCCAGTGTAGGAAAAATTGAACCGGGCCGCTGCCGAGGGCTGGGTAACATGTCCGAGTTGGTCAAGTAAACTTTTTTTAAAAAAATATGTTCAAAAATCCAGAAAAAACCAAAAATTATGAAAATATTTATTTTTTATTTATATTTTATTATTACCTCTGATTATTTTGAAAAAATAGAATTAATGAATAATAAAATAAATTAAGAGAAAAAAAAAAGCGGTAGCCCACTAAAACCACTAGTAGGCTTGATAGTTGAAATTTGAGATAAGTTAAGCCCTCATATAAGGATAAAGTGTGATCATGTGTGAGGTAGATGCCTCGAAGTATGTGATGTTCACACTTTGATTTTATGTGACGTGAAAAATAAATAAATAGTATAACTATTACAAAATATATATAAAAGTTAAATATGGCCCATGACCAAACTATTTTAGTGTAAAATATAAAAAAATTTTGAGTAAGCCAGAGGGACGGAAGGCGAGGAAGTTAGAGAGAGAGAGGCCCCTGCCCTCTCTCTATGTCGTTCTCTTTTGATCTGTCTTTCCAACTTTTTCTTTCTCTCTAGAGAGAGAGAGAGAGGGACAGAGAAGGCCAAGCCCCCATTGACCTTAAGAGAGAGAGGGAGAGACAGAATGGGAGAGAGAGAGTGAGACGTTTAAAAAAAATAAAAAAAATAAAATCAGGTGGGTATCGGCCGGTTTTCGATAAATTAGCCGGTTTTTACAAAATTTGCCCTGCTTGGTTCTAAACCGGCTAATTCGATATAAAAACCGGCCAACTATAGGCTGGTCCTTGGGGGGTGCCCCTCTCTCCCCAAGTGGCACCCCCAGAACTTGGAAAACCAAACTCGATCAGTTCTCGATTTTGGTTAACTCGACCAATTCTGAATTGACTAATTTTTCCTATACTGAATCTCTCATTGCTATAATGTCTCTCAAATTGGTTGATCCTTCCTTGTTCAGTATCATTCTCACTTAAATTGGGTAGCTGATCTCCCCTTGTTGAGTATCATTCTCACTTTTTTACCTCTCTTATTGGTGACCGTAGACTTCAAGAACCAATAAAGCTTTTACCTCAAAAGGAAATGCATATAATAACTCTATTTATTTATTTTTTATACAAAATCACATTTATTATTAATCATTGAATGTGAAATCGATTAGATGAATATGTGTTATTGTAGAAAAACAAAGTACGAACTAAAATTTCTCTAATGTTGTGACAATATAATTTATAGGATTTGACCTCAATGTGCTAAAATCCCCTTAGTGTCCTTCGAAGAGGCAAATGGAAATCAAGCAAGTCGGTGGGGTTGGATAGACGGCTTGGATTTAAAATACTAGTCGAATGAGTCATTTGGATGCCATTCAAACTTATGATCAACTTTTACCCTTCTGGTATGAGAGAGAGAGAGGAGAGAGGAGACCAAAAACAAAGACCAATGGCCCAAATCACTGCATTATATTAGAGAAGGCCATTGATTTCATGAACAATCATGAAAAAAAGAAAAAATTGAAAACATAATTTAAAATGTATTTTTTTAGCCCAATTAACATAGGCTGTTTATTTTGGTGAGATGCCTAGATCTAGGCTTTAGAAGGATTTTTTTCATTTTCAATTTTTTTGGATGGCTTTATTATCATTAGATGAACAATGTTAAAAAAGAAAAACATGATTTTAAGTTTATAAAAGCTAAGATCTTGAAATTCACAAAATAAATGGTCTAGATTCGTTTTTGGAAAGAACTCATTTTGACCATATCTAGAGTTCAAATTGAACTTTTTTTTAAAAGGAAATTGACTATTGAGATGAAGAGAGTATGTGAGCAAAATTTGGGATCATATAAATGCCACAAACATAATTTTCTAGAAGTGTCGTTGCATTATACTATCATACATCTGTTGCATTAGATCATTGTTCGAGAAGGCCAATGATTTCATGCAACCGTTATATAATAATATGATGTAACAACCTGAAAAAACCATCTTATATCCATTTGTTTTATCTAAATTTTAAAATATACACTATTTTCATTCTAATGAACAATCACACAAAATGAAAAAAT